ACAGGTGATTCAAAGTTACATTATTGCACAATAATTAATAAATACATCAAAGTGTGACCGAGAGATCCTTTTCCTACTAAAAGCAAAGAAACTTGACTTCTTTGGAGCCAGAATTTCACTCAGGCTTTTGCCTTAAGCCGTTTGATGGTACAAGTGGTGTTTTAAAAGTACCAGTTCAGTGTGAAACTTTGCAGTGGAACTACTGGGATCAATTGATGATAAGACCTGTCTGCCTGCTAATCTCTGAAAACTGGCCTAAGGAAAGTGCATAGTGGAGCAAAGGGTTTTATTTATGATCCTTGGGTTTCCCTTATAATCCCAAAGGTGCTGAATCTTCCAGCAATGTATCTGCTGTATTTCAAACTGCTTCAGCTCTGTGTATGACTTGGGCAAACAATGATCTTTTCAGCACAGTGCAGGATTTGTCTGTATCCCTCGGAGAACTGCAAATCTGGCCTCTGCTCTAGAATGCAAATTATTGCAGGTCGGGAATGGAAATGCGGTAACTTTTTCCATAGTGTTCTCTGATGTGGAATGAATGGCAGACGCAGCAGTCACTGTGATTTAGCAGCTAAGGTGGATAGCCTCTGATACAGCAAAGCTCACAGGGTTTATCTTCATTCACCAGTACCACTGCAGTAAATCTTAAGTGTTTTGGATGGCGAGGAAGGATGCAGATCTCTGAGGGATGCTCAGAAGTGAACAAGGCGCAGGCTGAGGAGCAGCTCCCACATCTGTAATAGACCTGCTCTGTGGCTTTGGGCACGGGTATTCGTTGCCGTTGTCCCAACTCTGATTTTAGGCAAAGCTGTGAGATCCCTCTGGGCTCCTTCTGGGGGGCAGAGGGAGAAGTAGCATTCAAGGGAAATTGGAGCAGGAGGCAAAGTGTTCCAGATTGCCCTGGAGGAACCTCTCTCTCCTTTGGTGGTCGAGGGAGGCAACTTCTTGTTGGAGGTTTTTAACATCCCAAAGCTGCTGCCTTGCAGCAATGGAACACCTGCATTTTTTGTTCTATTCAAGCAGAAATTCAGACTTTGGGCTGCAAGAGAAACAGCAGCAAAAGACCTAGAATCTGTCCTGTTGGGTCTCCGAGGGTGGCGAAGGAGCGAGGGCACAGCACTAAGGGAAGGCTAACGCCAAGCCAAGGCAGTTTTCCTCCTGCAAGAGCTGAGCTGGTGTCTCTGCACAGTGTTATGTATAGGACATCCTCTGCGGTGCCAAGGCTCTTTGAACCACGTTGCACTGTGCATGTACGTGATCCTGGAGATCCTTCTCCTCCTTGAGTTCCAGGGGGAAGAGTCCCAGCAGGCACCAGGCATTTGAAGGGATGTGAAGCCTGAGGCCTGCTACCATGGTCAGATGGCTGAGGGCAGGCGCTTCCCTCTTCCCTTTGACTCCAACCCAAAGCCGCTTCTACAGGTTATTAATATTCCCTCAATAGGTAGGAATTAATATTCCTCCAATGTGTAGGAAACAGGATGTTTACCTGCCTTTCTGCAAAATATTTCCTTAATGCTTCTCTGGTCTGTTTTTTATCCTGCAGATGATCACAGTCGGGTGAAGCTAAGGCCTTTACCAGGAAAAGATTCAAAGCACAGTGACTACATTAATGCTAATTATGTTGATGTAAGTTGTTTGAGTTGTTTTTTCTTTTCCAAACCTGAATCCTTCCACCAAGAGCAAGTATTGCTACTTGCAAAGTGTTTGTATTTTCCAGCTTCCTCTGATAGTTTTGTTACAAATCCCTCAGTATCCTAAATGAGAAAGGCACCTTTCTTTGGTGGATTTAAATTATTAATGTCTGCTATGATATTGCTTTCATCTTACTTGGCATTATGGTTTTCTTTGTAGGGTTACAACAAAGCAAAAGCCTACATTGCTACCCAGGGTCCTTTAAAGTCTACATTTGAAGATTTCTGGAGGATGATTTGGGAACAAAATACTGGAATCATTGTCATGATCACAAACCTTGTTGAAAAAGGAAGAGTAAGAGAATTTATAATTTGTTAGTAGCTGCTGCTTGCCACAGCCTTGAATCACGTAGGCAGAATTTGTTTAAAATGGTTGGGATGATATGAAATAGATGTATATATATTTGTTGACTTACAATATATAATAAAGAGGGATACATAATTAGCCATGAATTTACTCTTCTAAAATGCCCTAAGTGCCTATGTAAAGGACAGCTGAAACCTTCAGCCAACCCTCCCAACTCTCTCTTTGCTCAGAGGAAATGCGACCAGTACTGGCCCTCCGAGAACAGCGAGGAGTACGGCAGCATCATCGTCACGCTGAAGAGCACAAACGTTCACGCCTGCTACACTGTGCGCCGCTTCACCGTCAGGAACACAAAGATGAAAAAGGTGAGTGAAGCCTTTGCTGTTCTCGTCCAAGTGCCTTCTGGCCTTTGCAGCATGCAGGCTGCACCAGGGCAAAGCCTCAGCTGTTGCACGGACAGCTTGACGTAGCAGCAGGGTGGGAAATAAGTAAGCAAAGCCAGAATTGCTAGGAACCTGGTGAAAGGTTTAGCCCGTATATCTTTCTTTCAACTTCACTGCTGCTTTAGTCCCACGGTTACTACTGTTATTTTCTGTTCCCACCTGTATTTTTCCTTGAGCTCTGTCTCCACCTAGCAGGAGGCAGAGGCTGCAGAGGATTTCTTCTGTCAGTCAGCCACTTTTGCAGCTGAGCGAGCGGGGGAGGTTGAATCTATTTCCACGCTTCCCTCTTGTGATGGTTCTCTTCTCGCTGCAGGGTCAGAAAGGCAATCCCAAAGGGCGGCAGAACGAGAGGACGGTTATTCAGTACCACTACACACAGTGGCCTGACATGGGGGTGCCAGAGTACGCGCTGCCCGTGCTCACCTTCGTGCGGAGATCCTCGGCAGCCAGAGCGCCAGACACGGGACCAGTGGTTGTGCACTGCAGGTATGAGCGTGATGAGCTACTCCGCAGCCAGCATCTTAAATGCCAGTGAAGACAAACACATGAGTTATTAACGCAGGAAGGGTATGGCAGCTCCATGGAGTACGGGGAGGTGTGGGCGTGCTTTGCCTACGTTTCAAGCCAGCTCCAATGCAGAAGCTTTCTAGTTGCATTAGCAAAGCCTTGCGTCGTGCTGCTGAGCAGGTCAGCGTTGCACTGATGCGGCTGTGCAGTTCCTGACGTGATGTTTCTTTGCAGGCTGCCTGTTCAGGGCATGGGCAGGGCAGGATCACATCCACTGGCAGTCGGCCGTGCGAGTGCCTGCAGTCCTGGAGCAATCCTTAGGCTCCTCATGCAGCTCTGGCACGGGACCGCACTCATATTCACTAGCACTTGCAGTTGATAGAGGACTTCCCTTGAATGCTCTGAGGCTGAAGTCAACCAAGGCAGTCCCAGCCTGGGTCTGGGATAGAACAGGTTTGGTACAGGGTGGGTTTCCACATGGCTTCCTGTAGCCAGTGCCAGTGATAACAGAAAGGAACAGGACACCACACAGAAGCATCCACATGGTGAAAATCCCAGATCCAGAACAGCTCATCCTGCACTCTGCACAGTGGTGCCAGCCAGTGTCAATGGTACAATTCTAAACATTTGCTTTGGTTCAGCTCCGTTACATGCGTTTCTTTTATGTCTTCTCTAGTGCTGGTGTTGGCAGGACTGGTACCTACATTGTGATAGACAGCATGCTGCAACAGATAAAAGACAAAAGCACAGTTAATGTCCTGGGTTTCCTGAAACACATCAGGACACAGCGCAACTACCTCGTCCAGACAGAGGTAACGAATGCAGTGGGGTTGAATTTAAAGCCATCTTCATTTTTATACTGTAATCAAAGAATGGATTTTTCAGTTGCATCCCTGTAAATACAGGATATATTTCCAGGCATTTACTGTACTGGAATATCACTCCTAGACTAGAAACTTCAGATTCTACTTTTGACTTTTTCAGAGTTGTGTGTGTTACACTCTAAATGTTTATTCCAGACTTGGCCATATTTGCATGGTGGCTTGTTTTGCAAAGAGGATGTAGCCCTTTTTTTCGGGTGCTTTGCCCCTCGATTAAAGTACTCCAGGTGCCTTCGTGACATATTACTCTTTTTCTAGGAGCAGTACATTTTTATTCATGATGCCTTGTTGGAAGCCATCCTTGGGAAGGAGACTGAAGTATCTGCAAACCAGCTGCATAGTTATGTTAACAGCATCCTCATACCTGGCATAGGAGGGAAGACACGACTAGAAAAACAGTTCAAGGTAAAGCTTATCACAGCCACCCAGGGGCACTCAGTCCCCCACTCCCTGCTGCATGACATGTCTTCACTGCCTACTGCTAAAGATAAGGAACCAAACCAGAACCCTGGAATAGCTCAGCAATCTTAATTGTGCTGATTGAAATCAGCACTAATACTTTGGAATTCAAAAGCGGGAAGGTGGAAGTAGACGCTCCTCCAAGTGTGCTGCTGTTCCCTCTTTCCAAAGGGCCTTGGGCATTTCTGTGTGTGGTTTGCTTGGCTGGAGTCGCTCTCCAGGCTGCCCTTCTCACACCCATGTGTGCAGAAACTAATGAAATGAAGTTCTTAACACCACTTACTATTTCAGTAGATATCTGTAGATGCACACACTTAAAAAGGCTCCTAGACCAGGCAAACACAATACATCTTTCACTGCTAATAGCTTACTTGGTGCTTTTCCTTACTATGTTATAGCTGACCTTCATTTTGACCAGAGTAAAACTTTATGCATGTTTCTCCTATTTAAAACCTAAGATTTTCTGATTGTGTTTTTTTAAACATGCATTTAAAACTATGCTGTGTTACTGTGTATCATGAGAAGATTATACATTAAGTCTGTTTTCACAGTTAAACTTGATCGAGAAATGGCTAAGGAACTGAAACTGTTAAATGATGCCAGGTGCCAAACTATTCAAAACTGAATAGGCTATTTTCCCAATTCACTTGTAAAAATCTCAATACTTCTGCATCAGTCAAGACATTCCAGATGCTTAATTACTGAATAAAGAAATGTACACAATATGCAGCAGGAGAAAAAGATCTGGTACCAAAAAAAAATTTGCATTTCTTTTAAGAAAAAATACTAAGTACTAAGTTTTAAGTGTAAAGATGTTTTCTGATGGCAAAATTTCAAAAACCTAAGTGCTATATTCTGAAATTGCTTTGCCAGAGATGCACAGGAATTTAGAAACCCCACAGCTTTCATTGGGGCTTACGCTGGTACTTAGATGGGTTCTTTCTTGTTCAGAGTGCTTTTGAAACTGGGGCTAAGTAAGGATGTGGCCAGCAGCAATTATTAAACAGTTCCCTTGCTTCTGCTGCTACCACTAAGTTGGCAGAAAATAACTTGTGCTCATGCCCTCGTGGAGCAGTTTACATCTAACTATCGTAGTGTAAAATTGCACTGAGTTTGAGTTTCTACTGCAGGAAGCCACCTTCACCCTCTTCACTCCAGCAGAGTTTGGATAGACTATGGAGATGTGGATACACTAGGAAAGGGATATTCCAATACAGATCTGCCTCTGGGATGAGTTGGCAGACCAGAGAGCGTAACCCATGGGCTCAGCTCTCCAATGCCCATGGGGCTGAGTTCCCACAAGGCCTGGCAGGGAAAGACATACGGCAGGAATCATCCTGCTTTTATTGTAAAAGAAAGTAGAGAAGGGGTTTTGTTGTTGTTTTATTTTGCTGAATTTTTCTCCTGGAGACCTGCTTCTGACCGAGTATACCTGCAAGTCTCTGAAATATATTCTTCAAGATGACTAAAGATAGTGTTCTGTGAAAGTGTGTTTTGATGGAAGTTCATTCTAAGGATATTTCGAAGCTGAGAGCTGCAGAGATCTTTTTATCCATTAAACACACTGTGTGAAAAGGATGATTTCCATGGGTGTCTTGAGTACTTTAAACAAATTTAACAGTGCAGTTTATTCTGCTACTGATGCATCTTCCCAGGAGTTGGCAAAGAAATGTCCTCTCTTCATTTAGAGCACCACAAGGCCTGACTTGCTACTTTATTCTCTTTCAGCTGGTTACACAGTGTAATGCAAAATATGTAGAATGCTTCAGTGCTCAGAAAGACTGCAACAAAGAGAAGAACAGGAACTCATCAGTCGTGCCGTGTAAGATCACATCTTCGGGTTGATTACTGCCTAGCATAACTTTTTGTACTGAATTCTCCTTGCATGAAAAGGTCTAGCCACTAAAGGAGAAATGTAATCTCTTGTTCCCACCAAGCCGCCTTGTCTTTCGGAATTACTCTGATGAAACTGAACAAAAGAAAATAGTTAAGGTGTCGGTCAGATATACTGTCCAAGTGAAATGTTAATTTGAAGAGCTTAAGAATTTGAATAATTATGTTAGAGGGCAAATCTGTGGAGTGGCAAGAGAATTACTTCGATACAGCTTCCTGCTCAGGTCAGATCTCCCAGCGTGACGGACAGAAGTTGCCAGTAGTTCAGTGATAACTGTGGGTTTCTGTGTGGGTTTGTGGCTGTCTTGGTGGAGCACGGGAGGCCCCTGTATCTCAGCCTTCCCCAGATGAGGGTATTTAGTGCCTGAGGCCGTAGTTTCACAGTCTTTAATACAGCATCTGTGCATGTCCTGGTCGCCCTGCAGTACCCATTTGCTCCAGAGCAAGCATGGGAACAGGGTCATTTCCATCAGATTACCTGACAGCCAAAGTGGGACAAAGGTATAAGCACAGATCTGGTCCTTCACAAAGCTTGCCAAGAAAGAGGAAAGCCCTCAGAGTAGAGCTGATTAAGAAATGCCCACAGGCAGAAGGAGTCTTACTTTGCACTTCATGTTCGGGGGTGGCAGTGCTCTTGGTTTGGCGCGAGGAGCCTCCCCGTTGGTCCCAGGGTGCTGGTGAACCCGGTCCTCAACCCTGGAGAGGAGCAGCCCTGCTGCAGGACAGCGTGTTCCCCCAGAGGTTGTCCCGCCCTGCAGCTGGGAGCGCTCAGGGATGGTGGTGCTGCCGAGAGGAGGGGAAGACAGCATGAATCAGCCAGGTCCGTGTGCTGCTGGAGACAAATGGAGACGCTGCAGTCAAGTATTACCCGAAATCCCCCGTTATCACCGCGTATGCTGTCATTTGGCAATTCAACCTGCTGTGAAAATCTTTGCTATAGGAAAATTTGATTCCTGAAATTACTTTGTCCTTGTGGGAATATTGTGCAACGTTCTGTTTTTATATCCTGTGCTAGTCGGCAGTGCTTTAACACGGTTAAAGTGCTGGCCTGCTCCTGGGGGAGATGGGAGCTGCTCACTGTTTGGTTTGTTAACATCTGAGAAATTCCTGCTTTCTGCATTGTGCCATGATCAGGCTTTGATTTTTTTTTTTCTTTTTTTTTAATCTTATAGCTGAGCGTGCTAGAGTGGGCTTGGCACCACTGCCTGGAATGAAGGGAACTGATTACATTAATGCCTCTTATATCATGGTGAGGAAGCCAACACCTAATTACAAAGTAAAATCAATTCTAAGGTGCTAAATACCAGATGCCTGTAATTGTCTTAATTCTGTATGTAATGGTTGTGTATTAACAGATGAGATTTTAACACCTTCCCCATAATGTAAAGCTATTAACTGTGTTTTATTAAAGATTGTTGCCTAAAAAAAAATAAATACAAGATGCATTTATGTGGAATTAATATTTCCATGAGATACAGTCAAATAAATACTGGGATGTAGAGTAAATGAAAACAACAGGGACTCTGCAGAATTATAGTCTGTGCGAAAATATTGTAGAATAAAATGAAAAAAAAAAGTAATTAGCTGTCCCCAAAGATGAAATTAATGCTTTGAGAGTACTTCAGGCAGTAAGTAACTGTGTGGTTTGTTTTGCTGCAAAAGGGCTACTACAGGAGTAACGAGTTCATCATAACTCAACATCCGCTGCCACATACAACTAAAGATTTCTGGCGAATGATCTGGGATCACAACGCACAAATCATCGTCATGCTGCCGGACAACCAGAGCCTGGTGAGTTGGCAGCTTCCCTGCCCCTGCCGTGGGGTTATTGCTCAGCTCAGCAGGGCACCTTGCACTGAGAGAGGCTGCTGGGTGGCCAGGGCTGTGCGCAAGGACCTTGCAAAGAGCAGAAAGTCTCAGCAGAGACAACAGCACAGGTGCTCGTTTGGCTGAGGGTTTACGGCTAAGCCCAGAGAGGGCTAAGGCCTTGCGAGGTTTGCAGTGTTGTTTCTAATGTAAGCAAAAAGCAAATGTGTACGTTGACTTCAGTGGAAATAATGAGGTGGAGAGAGAAGGCGACACAGGTGAAGCGCTAATCACTACTTGCAGATTTACCGGCGTGTCTCAGGAGTTAGAAAGGATTAAGAAGTAAACAGTTTGTTTTTCCATGCACGCTTCACTCAGGTGAATACACAATTGTAGCCAAGCGTGGTAGAGAAACCACCTTCATTAGAGGAGGAGAAGAGCAGTCATGAGGGGCTACTAAGGAGGCAGCAGTTGATACACTGTGTAGGGGGAGATGAAGGGGGCTGCAGGCATCGCAAGGCAAAGAGCTATCAGAGAAACACGAATGAACCAGAAGGCACCAGTGAAAGGAAAGCACACAGGGTAGAAATGAAGAGCCTGGTGTTGTCTTTGCAAGTGTATGGAGTAGCTCGGGAGGACAGCAGGGACTGAGGGGTAACGGGGGAGCGCTGGCTCGGAGGCCTGGCGGCCGGTTCGGCCTCGCCGTGCTCAGGACGGAGGTCGGCTGACGCGGCCGTGGCGCCCGCGTGGGCTCCGTGTCTCGTGGGGGTTGTGTTGGCTGGCAAGAAGGGGTGGCCCAGGAGTGAGACCGCCGAGTGCTCAACATGCAGTGTGAAAGGACGAGGTGATCCCACTGCTGCGCAGGGATCTTTTCACCCTGTTCGATGTCACTTCTGCAGGCTGAGGGCAGAATTTTCAAGGCTCTTAGGGGACGTAGGGCCCCAAGTTTTGTTTTCTGAACAAGCCTAATTATTTAAGGTCCAAATCTCAACAGTATCTTGCACATCATCTGCATCAAGTCTCCGGGCCCATAGAGATCAGCCTGTTTGCAGAGAGACGTGTCATGTCCCCGCAGAGGGACAAAGCAGGGCTCGTGTTTTTTCAACACAGGAAAACACAGAGTCTTCAGGGACATGGCCAAGCAGTGCCAAGCAGGATGCTGGGTTGGTGGCTCTCCTTATGCTTCATGGCCCTCTGAAGCCAGGAGGAGAAACAGGCTTTGCGTGTATGTGGTTACAGAGCCTAATTTTCTTTCTCCGCAGTGAAATCAGACTGCACGGTTGCTTTTTAAGGAATGGTGTTGACAGTGTGTTATCGATACCCCATCAGTTAGTAAGGCTACTTCAGCACCGAGCCTTTATTCCCATTTACAGTCTCTTGGAGAATTTATAGTGTCATACTGTTTTCATTAGAGTTTGCTGGAGAACTTACATTATGGTAAGCCGGTGTTTTTCTCAAGGTTAAGAACATTTCATTTTTTCCCTTTCTCTTCACTCCTCACTTTTAAAAATTCAAACCCTACATAGAGCATCTATCATTCCTGTACCTAGGCCTGATGCACAGAGCTTCTACTGGTACCCTTTAGGATTAGACCACAATAAATACAAATTAAAATTAAAGAAAATAATTTTTAAAGGTCAGTGCATTTTTTTTCTAAATAGATACCTGACTTTCATGCAGAATTGTGTAGACGGGAGGCAATAAAGCCTGGGATATAATACAAAGGTTAAGTATGAGCAAGCTAAAATAACCATTTCCCTATGAAACCAATTAAAAAGCAGGCGCTACCTGGTTGGGCACACAAAGGAAGGATCTGCTAGGCTTAGTGACAACCGTTACAGTAAGTTGGTTTTAGACACAAATGTTTTTAAAGGTTAGTTTCTGATTGTCTCTGTTTATGAAACCAATTTTTTGATCCACTGGATTTTTCAGTCTCGATGAAGGTGTGGGAAGGGCTGCAGGACGTGTGTTGTGTTTTCCTGCAGGCAGAAGATGAGTTTGTGTACTGGCCAAGTCGCGAGGAATCCATGAACTGTGAGGCCTTTACTGTGACCCTTATCAGCAAAGACAGGCTGTGCCTCTCGAACGAAGAGCAAATTATCATCCATGACTTTATCCTTGAAGCTACCCAGGTAAAATAAGCTCCCCAGATGTGGGCCTTGGCTGTTCTCCAAAATGGATGTTGATGTTGTTTAAGCATGGGAAAGAGAGTTCGGAAACAGTCTTGGAAAGGGTTTACTTGTAAGTGCTTGTTTGTGCATGTGGTTCCTTGGGGGAAGGGTTTCCTTTGCCGACCCCTTCTCCTGCCTTCTGCTTCTGCTGGAAGTGGATTCCTCCAGCTCCAAGCTGAATCGCTGCATCTTACTTGAAAGTGAGGACATTTGTCTGTTATTCAGAAGCCAAACAAGTAGATTGAATTATGCTGTGCAAAGTACACACCAAGGTTTATTGTCCTATTGCCGCTTACAAAACTGGGATTGCTTACAAAATTTAAGATTGTTTCACAAAGATTAA